TTCGCTGTCATGTCTTTACTTCATCATTGTGCTTACAATTTTAAGTGTTGCGGAACGCGGGGGGCTGGGGGCGTTCGGGTATCAATTTTCCACAAAATGGAACTTGAGGAGTGGGGGATACTCGGGAGTCTACCTCCAAAATATGGAATATGGATGGATGTGAAGGCACTCGAGTTCATTCCAAATATGGGCCATAGAGGCTGACGCGCTGTTTTATCGATTCTCCTTAAAATGGAACAGAACTTGGTCGAAGTACTTATATATCTATGTGTTTTACAGCGATGTTGAAATTTCAAACCGTCGTAAAACCCGTTCCTGTCAATTAGAACGGATACCTCTTCTGCTGTATATCGACGGTGAAACTACCAAACCACGTATCTCGTTTCGTTTGCGGTGTTTAAAAATCTACGCTCACATTTTATTTTTTTGAAGTAGACCAAATCAATATCATTCCTTGAAATTTTCACGAAATTTTCTCCGCACAAAGAGGAAAAATCACAGAAATTTCCAAGACTGGATGTTAAGTAGTTTTTCATTTAAAAAATAAAGTATGACAGGAAGTCTCCGACGTCGCGAATTTTAAAAATAAATCATTGTCATCAGTATCTCCGTATGGCTATTATTTCATTGAATTTGGGGGGGGGGCATCAATTCATCATGTGGACCGTCTTTTAACAGAAGTATACTGTTCTCTGCAATTATTTTAATTCGTAAGTGCCTCAAATCCTATTTATCTGTTCGACCGGTGAGAATTTTCTCCGGTATATCGGCTTGCGTACAATTTAGTACGGGACCGTCACGGAATTTAAAGTCCTCGATCGTCCTATTTTTTACTTTTAAGTTCTCAAGCTAAGTCTCATCAATGTCTAAATAAAGCTGTGATATCACTCATTTTAAATGTTTAATTCAGTGTAAATCTTCCTTAAATCTTGCATCGTCGGTCCACGTCTCCTCAGTTTCTGATTGATCTCGGGGGAAAATTTCTTGATAGAAAAAAATTCATGTTAAAAAATTTAGGCTACAATTTCTTCTCGCATCTTATTTTTCGCGTAGTTATTAAGCCATACCTTCTTACTTACCGTCGCGTATTTTTCCTCGACTAGTTGGACAGCGTTTAGCAGAAAGGAACCAAGCCACTTCAGCTATTGCCAAGTTTTAGCGGGTAATTTAATGTTGTACATGAAACCAACTTTGCGAATTTTTGTCAAAATTTTAAGGAATGTTTGGCCCAGTTTAATTCGGTAATTGCTGCTGTGGCTTGGTTCCTTCAGCTTAACGCGGTCCAGATAAGAACCTATTTTAATTAGGTACATCCACAGAACCGATCCGTGTCAAATAATAATTTGACCAAAACATGTGAAAGATTACACAACTGAATACTGTGTATTGCTCTCTAATCTTTTGAAAACCATTTCTACACTGTATCCTCTAATCTTTTGAAAGCAATTTCTATGCATGCTCTATACTATTGATCTATACGTATACCCTTGCTGGGGCATCGCGGCAGTGATTCTTGCGACCCTGGTAACACAACAAACGTTAACATAATTGGACCGAGTTTAACAGAAAGGAACCAAGCCACATCAGCGATTGCCAAGTTTAACTGGGCAATTAAATTTTTTACGAGAGAACGGTTGTTCGGATTTCTTTGAAAATTTTAAGGAATTTGCTTCGCACCACGGAGAATTTTCACTGAAATTTACACGAAAATCCGCACAACCGTTTTCATGTAAAAAATTAAATTGTCCAGTTAAATTTGGCAATAGCTGATGTGGCTTGGTTCCTTTCTGTTTAACGCGGTCCAATTGTGTGTCGTAGAGGACGAACCTAAAGCACTAACATTAAACAGTGCGGGTAACTAGTTGCATAGTTCCTGACTCTATATTGATGTCTCATCCTCATCGGTTGAACAATTTTCCATGTAAACGGATTACCTTGCTTAAGCACTCACTGCCCTAGCAATGCGTCACTAATCTCATATTTCTTGAACTCGACATATGTATTGACGTTTTATCTTTGAAAAAAATGTCTATGTTAAACCTATATGTGCACTGAATAAAATACTCCGGCCTTGGAAGCCCGCACCTACGGGCATATGAGAATAAACGTAGACATACCGTTCGCGGGGTGTAGCTCCTTGAGCAGTCGAAGCTATGGCTCCAGATGTCTATATAGCCCGTAACTTTTTTCTATTGTTTTTAATGTGTTGTTCGGGCATTTTGGTATTGTTCTATGAAAGCAACCCGAGCTGATATCGCTTAGCTTTGCATTCGGGAGACTGTCTCAATTTAGTAAAACGGATGATACGAGACTATAACCGGGTAACATCTTGGCGAACCTAAATGATACAACTATTCGAACACTAGTGTACGACGTGGTATCCAGCGAATTTGAAGGGGTTTTCAAGCTCCTGCGGAAAAATGAGTTCGTTCGTGCTTTGGAACTCGCGCGTAATGAAGTCTTTATGCCCTCCTGCGCCTGCCTTTATCTTGTAGGAATTATTGTGTGTATTTCTTGTCTCAGTAATCTATTGGTACTTAAAGTTCCTTACCTATAACTGGATTGCATTTTGCAAAAAGGAACCACTAGCATTGCAATCATGCTAAGATTGTGCAACTTCATCCTTTGCAATAAAATTGCGGAAATTGTGAAAAACTATGAAATTTAGATGGTAATTTTTGTCTTAAATTTACAGTTTTTAGCGAGTAAAATAGAAACTATAACGGGATAATCGGGTTTTTCCTCCAAGACAAAAGAACTTGCACAATCTTAGCAACATTGCAATGCTAGTGGTTCCTTTTTGCAAAATGCAATCCAACTATACTTAATTGATCTCGCAACCAGTATTGAAACGATCCCCATAATTGACTAAAAATCAGCTGTTTTCATGATTACACTTTCATTTTGCTGCTATTTTTCAATCTTGAAAGAGTCTGTAAACAGTGCTCATGAAAATCCATTTATCGTGTGACTCAAAGGAAATAATCCATCCCCATAAGTAACGCCAATTTAAAGCACTCTATGGATTACTAATGATTTTAAAAACCTAAAATTGTTAGATTTCATGTTTTTCTATACTGTCATGTATCAACTATAATTCTGGTAGAATTACGGCATCATCTTATCACTCGTATTTTGGGTGATTATTAATGCATTATGTTGCACTCGCGAAATATTGACCGAGCACTGTATTACCCGGGAAATATCGACACTGATGGAATCAGCCTCACTTTTCGATGACTAACTTATTTTTCGCGCCTACCTTACCTTCTCACCGTGGGCTTCATGATGGTTCAATTCTCCCTTATCAACGAATTAAATTAAATCTTCAGCAGTATCCTGTAGAAAATATGACGCTCAGGTTCGGGAGCTGGCCAGCGGGCTGATTGTTGAAATTGATAGAAAAAGTGATGGACAAAGAAGAAATATAAAGAGTACGGAGCGATCCTATTTGTTGAAATGGATGGTTCTCATAGACTAAGGGGGTAAATAATGGAATAATCGTAGGGTCTCTCGTGGGGTATCGTTAGTTAGTCTATTATCTACCTCCTTTGTCCATTGCAACCACCCGCTTCCACCGATAGGATCCCTCCATATCCTTTTTGTCTTCTTTGTCTACAGCTTTGTCTACCAATTTCAACAATCAGCCCGCTGCTATGGATACGAATCAGACCATACGTTAACAGTTGACAGCGAATTTTTTTTCGCGAACGAACTAATGGGAATCGAACGGTTTTGCCAAGCTTTTCAATCGAGCATTGTTCCTTTCCCATCATTTATTGTCCGAAGTGTAAAAAAATTGCTATGCAGCCAAGCCAAAGCGTCAAGATTGAGGGTTCCATAACTGCGTATCGCAGAGACTGCCACGATAACGGTTAGTGCGCAATTTTACCTACACATACCATCGTATTTTCATGAGCGGGAAGCTTGAATTCACGCGTCAAGAAAAATTAAATATCTTTTAAGTGTTAATTTTAATAATTTTCGTTGCGCGAATTGTGTTCTACGCGAAAATTTGGGGGAGAAACATGTTGTAGAATGCTAAACTACCCAGTATGTCCAGTGGTCTTTTGGGGCAGAATACTTGAATTCGCACATTGTTCGGTGGTCCGTTGTGATCTTAAAAGGTTCACGATCTGACCGAAAAAGCAAAAATGCCTTCAACATCACATTATGCAACCCGGCCATCCATAGAGCACGAATAGTTGCAGGCGCTACATCCTAAAATTGTCTCATTAATTCAATGGAGATGTCGCATGTGTGAGGAATTTGCGATTTGACTGTTAATTCTTATGTAAGAGTTCGCGAGAAACACGATGTGGCCACTGGTTTTCTCTGAAATCAACTCCCAAGCTCAAAAAAAGCTCTCAAGTTGAGGCCAAAATGGAGGAGATATCTCACGTTACCCTGAGAGTCCACGTCTACATCAAGACAAAGTCTCCATGCAAAGATAGGGAGCAAATACATTGACAGGACTGATGCCACTTTATTTGGGGACTCTAAAACTGAAAACACGGCAAGCCTGCTAATATATTTGCTCCCTATCTTTGCATGGAGAGTTTGTCTTGATGAAGACGTGGACTCTCTAGATAGCGTGGGATATCCCTCCATCTTGGCCTCAATTTGAGAGCTTTTTCTGAGCTTGGGAGTTGATTTCAGAGAAAACCAGTGGCGGCACCATCGTGTTTCTCGCGAACTTATACATAAGAATCAACAGTCAAATTGCAAATTCCTCATACATGCACATGCAACATCTCCATTGTAGCGCAATACTTGGATTCGGGAGGTTTGGATTCCAGCGTCAAGCAAAATTAACTATCTCGGTTATATAGGGGTTCATTTCAGTATAATGTTTGTCGCATGAATCGTGTTGCACGTAAAATTTTGGTCAAGAAACGTGTATCATGTATCAGAATGCTTTCTATAGTACCTGGTCCACTTAGATTTTAGATGCCTGACTTAGACTAGATTTCCCTGACCTCGGGCGTTTGATGTTGCAGGTGAGCCTGTCCGGCGCCAAGCAGGTGGTGCTGAAGGACGTGAAAATGGAGCTGGCCGGCAAGTACCGCTGCGAAGTTTCCGCCGACGCCCCGTCCTTCCACACAGTCATGGTCTCCGCGCACATGCACGTTGTTGGTGAGTTTTGAGTTCCCCCCGGATTTCCAATCCCAACTTTTTACCTTTCTTCGATCCATTCCTATCCGCGTCTCGTTTTATGTAAAGCGCTTTGGGGCCCCGACTATTCCGAAAGTTGTCGCGTTGTATTCGAATGATTTTCACAGTGTGAAAAATACCCGAATACGCTGTTGTGTGAATAGCCAATCGTGTTGGGGGATGATTGGGTGCAGGCCCCCTCGCAATCGGGAATATTCGGGATTCATGAGGAAATGAACCTTTACGGGAATCGATCAATTGTATTCAGAAGTTTAATTGTAATTTTGCATGTATTATGTATTTCATCATTGAATACTCACAATCAAAGTAACAAATGCATTTTTGCATCGTGACATAAAAATTAACAATTAATTTATGCTAAAATATAAATAGTGGAAGGCATTTCTTAGACTGCCGCATCACCTTTTTTTCTTTCAGCGTACGAAGTGTCTACAAGTCCGTAATTTCCGGAAAGTCCGGAAATAGTATTTTTTAAGAGCGGCCCGGAAGTACGGAAAAAGTGCGGAAATTCCGCAAGAAGGTCCGGAATTTTACTCATTGCTCATTGCTCATTAGCTTGTCATTTTTGTCGCAATTTGAGCGAGAAATTCAAATTTTTGAAATGTTTCGCATTTTCTCAAATGGAGATACTGAAAAAGTAACGAATTTTTCGGTTGAGGAGGTACTGTATGTCTAGGAAACGTACTGAAAAAGTACTGTAAAAGCACTGATTTTCGGCAAGCCTGTTTTAGTTGACTCACTAAGGCAATCCTCCAAAAGTAATTTTAAGTATTGGTGGCTTTATGATCTGCATTGAATTTTTTTCCTTTTTTCCCCCTTTTTTTTTCTCCACAAAATGTCACAAGTCATGAACTAATTATTTTCTCCATCGCATCGCGTTGAAGAAAGATGATATTTATTTAGCGGATGTTGATGATCTGCGTCAACAGAGTCATTTGATTACCTCAGTCGGTCTTCGGCTTACGAATCGAATCTTTCATCATTTTTATCTCAGGGACGAGGTGTGATAATCGACTGTCGATATAAAACTATTGCAAGGAATCGTATTGTGATGTTTGTTGCGAACGCCCTGATACTCGATTAGGTTTGAACGACATGCAATCGATATATCGCAAAGCCACGCCACTGTTTCCTGTATATAAACTACGGACGATAATCGCGATCTTTTCCAAAGAATCTGGAGGAAATGGAAATGAAAGGGATACCTCGTGTTTTCAAGAGACATATCAAGGTATAAGAAAATATGAAATCTCAACACGCCTCAGCATCGTCATTAAGCGTATTGATACAATATAGCTCTCTTGGCGGAAGTTGTGGCGTTATTTGTATGCGAATGATTCTTACAGTGATGATCAAGATGAATTATTCTATCTTGTACTTGTATATCTGACCGCGGTTGTAGAAGAGCACGTTCCCAACTTATTTTTTATTGTTTTAGTCGTCAAATTATGGTCAAACCCATCATTTTGTCTCGTTTAGATGCCAAGTCATGCATGTGCTTACAAGCACATTCCAAGTACATTAACGCTTATAACTGTACTTACTATAAGCACATTAAAAACCGTCCTAAATGGCTGTTATAAACAACAGACTTTGGAAATTGCAGCACTCAACTTCTGCATGATGTTTCCAAATCATGCTTACAGGCAATATACGAAGTGTGGTTGCTGGGAAAGTGTATATTTTATCCTTTCATCAGATATATTCGTCATTAGTGTATCACAAAATGACCTTCTTTACGTATGTGAATTGAATTATATGTTATTTAAGTTTATTCTTCAAGTAAAATATCATTTTTTGTGTTCCTCAACATTATTTTTTTCTTTTGCCTGTATTGGCATCTTTCGATAAATGTTTATGACAAATATTTTATCAATATCACTTGGAACCTGCGTATCCAGCAAGGATTTATTGTGTTAGTATTACATGTAGTATAAAACAAACAAAGGCTGAAATCACCGGTTCTTGCCGGAANGGATCACCCTGTATATTCGTCATTAGTGTATCACAAAATGACCTTCTTTACGTATGTGAATTGAATTATTTGTTATTTAAGTTTATTCTTCAAGTAAAATATCATTTTTTGTGTTCCTCAACATTATTTTTTTCTTTTGCCTGTATTGGCATCTTTCGATAAATGTTTATGACAAATATTTTATCAATATCACTTGGAACCTGCGTATCCAGCAAGGATTTATTGTGTTAGTATTACATGTAGTATAAAACAAACAAAGGCTGAAATCACCGGTTCTTGCCGGAATTGGAAGCCGGAAATATAGTGATCATGTTTTTTTGACACTTCTTCACGCCACTTTTCTGCCTGCATGATTAACCGCTTGTATAACATCATAGGCCCTTGAGGTAAGCTTTTTCGAGTTTACCATACATCGTCATCACCGCTTTTGAGTTTGACACAAGAACTCTAAAACAGCACTTCTTGCAGCATAAATGTGAATCAGAAACCCAGGACAGAGTGCATGCTTAAAATCGGGTGGCATATACCTGCCGTGTCGATTTACGCCCACCTCAATTTTTATTCGTTCAAACTAGGTGTAACTCCGAACAGCGGATTTAAGTAAATGAAAATTGACATCTCTCAATTTTTACTCATTTTTTAGTCATCCTGCCGTCGCTGAAATTTTAAAAAATGTCGTGTCACCGTGAGGAATTTAACTCTGCTGCTAAATAGAAATTTTTTGGGGGTGTCTTAATGAGTTAACAGTGTTTTTCACATGAATTCACACATGAGTTCAACTAAATATCACAGAACCACTCTGGTTCAAGAAAACCAAACAGTTTGACTCACAATCCTGTGTGACATACTGACTGAAGAGTCTCATCAGGGATAACAAAGTTTACAATAATAGGGAATCATCTATTATTCTTTGGCCATGATTCAAATTTTAACGATCCGATTACGGTTTCGTATGTAATGCTATTAGTACCATGCGCTCTCCAGAAGTCAGATCAACACTGGGCCGCCTCGAGGTACATAAAAAGTAACCATGATTTTTACAAATAATCGATTTCTCACTTCAGGTTTAAGGAGATAAACACGTAAACAATTAGAAGAATTTAAAAAAGGAAGGGAAATTACTCTTCTGGACTGATTAACTCTTTATCTTTTCATCTAACCAAAAAACGAACTATAAAACTTATTACCTATATAAACCATGGAAACCCCACAACCGTGACCCAGCCCGCCCCAGCTGACAGCGACATTTTCGGCGGGAACAGTACAGTCAAATGTTTCCTCTAGAAGTTCAGCTTTTCATGGCTGTTCCTGATGTGGGCCCCGATGATGATGTATGTATCTTCGTCGAATATTGCTTTCTCTAACCGGTCCAGCAGCCTGTCTCTTACTAGCATTTGGCGGCCCAGGGGACAGCTACGCTTTGTGTCTCGTTGTTGGTAGGCCGTGCATGCACTGCTTGTGGTTGAACTTGCAGCTCCAGAAGGGCGCTGTCATCGTCCTAGCTGACGGCGACTTATTTGGCGACAACGGTACAGTCTCATGTTTCCTAAAATCTTACGCATCATAATATTTATTTACACTGCGGGCTTTTCGGAAATCAGCCCCAGAAAGAAACATTAACAAGTATCTCTAACACAACAAAATGGCAAAACTCATGTCGAATATACATTTGTATTTTTATTTATGTTTGTATTACTTTTATGGATATGCATATGTACTTTTTATACTTAACCCATTTTAACCGTCAACATTTATCGCTTGAATATAAGTTAAATTCCGCTTTTTCTGCGGGCCGATTATTGAAAGTTCAAAGTTGCCCGATGAGACATCGAATTGCGATATATTTTATGGCTAACATACAGCGTTATTCAGAGGTCACGCACCACTGGCCATAACTTCAGTTCTAATTATGATATCCATTTTCGGTTTAGGACGTTTTTCCTCATATCGAGGGGGAAACTTTTTAAAGTACTTTCCAGTTTTTGATCCCCTCGTGAGAAGAGGGGCGGGGGGCAACTCAAAAATTGCAAATGGCCACCTCCCCCATGGCCAGTGGTGCGTGACTTTTAAATAACCATTTATAGTATGTATTGTCTTTCCAGAACGACTTAAATTCTACAAATCGGGTCGCTGTTGTGTGATTCCGTTTTCCCCGTGAAATTTCGAGGAGAAAACATGCTGCGTAAACCTTTAATTCGTACCTTTTCTAAAAGCTCATTCTTCACCCAATTATTCATCTAGCCCTGCAAATGAAGAGCATTTCGAGATTGCTACTTCGCAAACTTGGCGCCGACCCGAACATCGCCCACAGTTTGCAAACCAGCCGAGCAAACTTGATTCTGAGACCGCACTCTCTTTCTTTCTTGATTTATTCATCTCGAAATGAACCGGCGGGGTCGCATTGCCACCTTCGAGCTAAATTCCATTTTTAACTGTATAATATCACAAAGTTGCAGGCGAGCTCTTGCTAACCACGCAACATTACCCAGCGCCGCACAGTGGACCTAGTCAATTGGCTATGTCTGACAAAATTCGGAATCTTAAAACGCTTGTTACTCCATTTATACAATACTGTGAGGTCCGTAAAGTGGTTCCATTGGTTTTCTCGTGAATTTTTTCCTATTAGTACCCCTTAAAATTTAAAACGTGACAAAATTAACATCAAAATTTTCAGTATCAGTTAAAAAGTTAATGTCCGACCTCTTTAATGGGTCAGTTGCGCTGGTCACAGAATCGTGGTTTGATGCTTGATTCTTGTGGATCAGGTAAAATAAAATAAAATGATCCGTCCGAACGGCAACTTTATACGTTCAAAACTAACCGAGATATCGCCCCTCGAAAAGTCGGGTTTTTAACGCCATCCACCGCGGTAATAACACCCTTGGTTTCTTCCACCTACCTTTCATCGAAGTCAGTGATGCACTGGTGACTCAGCGTGAAACTGGGACGAAAGCAAGGTAGAAGAAACCAAGGTTGTCACAACCGC